TTCTACTTAATTTAGTGTTAGGTTACAGGGCGCAAAAGAAAAAGCAGTCAAACGCCAAAAATTTTAAGAAATCTTGAACACTCTGGAAACCGTTTGGATTCGGGTATTACCTATAGTTAATTGTGCTACGACGTAGATTGTCATGTACATTTCGAATATGCAGTCCGGTAAAGTATATATTTGTTGCTTTCAAAAGGTGAAAATAATACCTATTTCTTGAATCATTTGATACAGGAATTAAAGAAAAGCGTCATTATGTAGAGACATACAATTTCATAATCAAATTTCAACCCGTTACAAAGATGAACATGAAATACGGAAGCACGTTTTCCCTATAGTTAACTTAACCATTGATACATGACAGGCGAAATTCCAGCCTGAATATCAAAATTCATTTTGTTTTATTTTACTGGAAATCCATACTGTCATCAGTTGTAATGAATCACTCAGTATTAAAAATGTTAAAACTGTTAATAGTATTACTTTTAAAGAAATTACAGGTGTTTTACTGTACAGTGCTGCAATTTATCACGATCACTGTTGCACTCAAGAGGAATTAGGTACGCGGCAATGGATATCCTTTTATAAATGTTAGAGGTGAATTATTTTTTACAGATTGTTTTGTTGTTAATTTATTACATAAGTAAAATATAAAAATACAAAAATAATTAAAATAATGAAAACTAACCTAAACCTAAACATTATCTCTAATTACTTATACATATGTACTATTGTAGGTGGCGCGCTTCCTTTTGGGTTCAGATGGGCCCCACTGGTAAAGAAAAATAAAAATTAACAAAAACTATTTTCAAATGTAGGAAAACTTACATTCATCCACAGTGGAGTTTGAGTGCCGGCATCCTTCACCGTGATCCGGCGAGTGTCCACCGGCAGAACAAGCATTGCTGCCGTCTGGGTGCTGGCATCCACCGGTTCACCGCCACCGCCCTCGCCGTTATTTTGGGTATTGATCGCCGCCGTCGGCTGATCTAGCGGCTTGCTTACTTTTGCACCCATGTTCTGAAATAATAACCAAATTACCTTTATGCCAGCATTTTTGGGATAGGTTGTGTGGGTTTTTAAAAAATAGATTAAATTTTGAAATATAAGCAGATTTCAAAAAAGTTTTTGTTTTCTTAAAATCGTGAGTTCACATTTACCATGACATTAACGTTGTTGCTTACAAATTGCATTAGATCGACAATGAACTAAATATTATTTTTTGTGAGCACAGGGTGGCGCACAGTCTCATGCACCAGTTTGTATACTTGGAAGCCCTGGGCTCATGTTATCACAGATTACTTTAAACCAAATGGGTGCAAAGCGGTCTCACCTTGCAAGTTTTTTAGACCTGGAAGCCCATTGGTAATGACGCCATGGAAAATAAAAAAATGAAAGAAAACTATATCCAAAAAAAGACAAAGATATACAAGGCTTGTAAAAAAAATTGAAATTTACTTACGAAGATAAACGTTGGCTACTCGACTACGAAACAATGTTAATTAATCTCGCCTCAAACGCCTTTTATGGGTCCATACTTACCCCAAACACTTACTTAGGAAGGGAAGGGAGGAAATTATTATTATATTAATCCATTGGCTGTGGTTGTAGGTGGGAGGTGTGTATTGTGTATTATTACACTGGAATTGGATGCTTGTTTTTAACATGTTTTTGGATTAATGTAGCTAATTGCTTTTTCCTAACCACGATTTATAATATTTTTATAATACACACAGTTCCATCATATATTCATAGGCGTATCATTCCTGGTGTGGTGTTTGAAAACGTTCTTTCGTTCATTTTTCACCTCAATGCAATACCTCCCTTACTAACGTGCGGGAGGTTAAAAGTATATTAAATAACAAGGGATTAAAAAGTTTTTGTTCCCGAAAGAATAGTTTAATATTCTTGGGGGAATAAAAACTCTTTTTAATCCAGTGTTACTTATACAATTTTTTCCAATACCGACCATTCTAAATCAATTTCGAAATGAGTATGATTTTTATTGTAAAACAAAGTATCAAAAAGTCAGGTAGGCTGTACAGGCAATATGGATCTTGGGGTAGAACAAATTAGAGACAAGCTAATTATTTTTTTAATGTGTAGGGAACATCTTTCTTATTAACATACTAAAAGTCCCATTCGACTACGACAAATATAAAAAAATGTCCATCTTTATTTTTTTAATTTTTGGACAATAACTTATTCATTTCTCATGTTACTAAAAATTTTGCAGAGACATAGTTTTTAGAGTTTAAATGCGCGCACATTTTAGTACCAAGATGATAATTGTAGGTTTAAAATTAAAAAAGTTAGAGATTTTTTTAGAGAAAAAATTTTCAGTTTAAGTAATATTTTCATTTGTGTAAATAAATTTCAGTTCATGGTTACATTTATGGGTCATTCTCCAGAAATGGCAAAATAAGGTTTTCGAAAAAAAAAACTTTTTTTTTCTAAAATATCAACCATTTTCAAGGAGGTGTTGAATATACAGTTTTCCAATTTAGAAACATAGTTGGTCCAGATCGATTGCTCAGCTTTTCCAAAAAATACCTATTTTTCAAACCTTAATTTCACGGAGTTGAGGAGAGGTATCACGGAGTTGAGAAAAATCTGTATTTAAACGTAAAAAAATGCAGTATATATATTTTGAAAAAGAAGAGCTACATGGAAAATTAAGAAAACTTATATTTCAAAAGGTTGTTGGAAAATGAATATCGACCCCGATGAATTGACGGTTTACCAAGAACTTCGATTACATCCCTCAGTTCCATCACAGCTCTGTCCTCTTTGTTTGGAAATACAAACTTGCCGCCAACTGCTGTTCTCATAAAGAACACACCAAATTCATTTTCATTTTCTACTGCTTCAATGTAAGCTATATACAGGGTGTTTTTTTGGGAGCTTTAGTTAAACGTTTCTGGGAAAGTAAAATAGGTAGGTTTTTGAAAATTTGTACTTAGGAGTTACGCTGAAGGCCGAATCGATGTAAAATATTTTCAAAATTGCCGCACTTCCGGAAACACCGGAAGTAGATAGTAGCTTCGTTATTTTAAATAGCAACCCCAATTTTTTATTGGGTTTTTGGATTCTACGTGAAATTTCAGTTCTTTGGATACCCATATGTCGATATCTGCCATTTATGGTTTTTAAGTTATTTTGACTTTAAGAAAAAAAATGGCGGATGCAGATGGTACCTTGATAATTGATTACTTGAAAATGGTTGTAGTCATGGCAACCTATTTTTATCAGTGCATATAGAATGAATACAGCTTTCTTTTAGTGTACTTCAAAAAAAGTTAAGTTGCGTAAGACCGCCCCTATGGAGATCCAAATTTATGAAACTTCAAAGACTAAAAACTCAGTTTTTTTAAATGGAATCACCATTTTCTTAATATTGCATGAGATAAAGAACCGAAATGGGCATATTTTGACAATACATGTTCCTATAGCTATCTTTAACAGTTTCTGACTTATTCCCATTTTATTGAATTGACACTATTTTTTTCGAATTTTCTTTTTAGTAGTCGGCTATGATTTTATAACAATTGAATTTTAAACAATTCTAGTGACACTAATCCTAATTGTATGAATTTTGGAAATGTTGTATCCCCAAATGCACTACAAACCGTTGAAGCACAAGTGATACAAAGCTCTACAAGAGAATATTTAAGAAAATGAATTGAATTGCAAATGCAAGATTAACAAAATAAATTCAATGTAAAATATAAAAAACTTCGTTGAAACATTTTTTGTATGGAATTGTTGCTAGAACAGATATCGCATTACCTCTCTGAATTTTTAGACTTATACGTTGTTTAAGAAATTCAGTTGAACGACTCTGTCTAGATTTCTCAAAAATTTTCCGTCCTTAATAAATGACTTATTTATTAATGAATTATTTAGACTAGAATCAATGATATTAAAGAATCCTTTTCTTGATTTGTTTAAAATTCGATTGTTATAAAATCATGGCCAACTACTAAAATGAAAATGCAAAAAAAATGGCATCAATTCAATGAAATGGGAATAAATCAGAAAATGTTAAAGATAGCTATAGGAACATGTAGTATCAAAATATTCCAATTTCGATTCTCTATCTCATGCAATAGGAAGAACATGGTCATTCCATTAAAAAAAACTGAGTTTTTGGACTTTGAAATTTCTTAAATTTGGATCTCCATAGGTGCGGTTGTACGCAACTTAATTTTTTTTTAAGTACACTAAAAGAAAGCCCTATTCATTCTCTATGCACTGATAAAAATGGATTGCCATGACTATAACCGTTTTCAAGTAATCAATTAGAAAGGTACCATCTGCATCCGCCATTTTTTTTCATAAAGTCAACATAACTTAAAAACCATAAATGGTAGATATCGACATATGGGTATCAAAAGAACTGAAATTTCACGTAGAATCCAAAAATGCAATAAAAAATAGGGGTTGTCATTTAAAATAACGAAGTTACTATCTACTTCCGGTGTTTCCGGAAGTGCGGCCATTTTGAAAATATTTTACATCGATTCGGCCTTCAGAGTAACTCCTAAGTACAAATTTTCAAAAACCTACCTATTTTACTTTCCCAGAAACTTTTAACCTAAGCTCCCAAAAAAACACCCTGTATAGAACTTCATATTCTTTTTCCCTACGAATTAATAAGGTTAGAAATACACACTATTTAAGAATTTGTCAAGTTAGGTACCTTGTAGCTGTACCACAACATAGTCACCGACATCAAGATCACTGAAATTGTGGATTATTGTCTCAGTATCTTGGTGACATTCAGAACTAGCACTAGATGTTTCATTATCGCTGTCAATTTTTCGATCCAAATCCATCTCTAATAATTGCAATGCTGTGATAATGTTAAGAAAACACAATTTAGTGGACTTATAGATAGCTGAAAATTTTAAAATGAAAAGGATACGTGATGGTTTCGAAAGTTGTATGGTGCCCAGACCGTAGTGAATACAGATTTCATCTGGCTTACATTCTAAGCAGGAAAGTTCACGTGCTTGTATCATAAAGGGCTTTTGAGAAGACCACGTAAGCTCATGAACTTTCATTGTTCCTTTAAAAGTGCAGAGATTTTTTGGTACAATAGCGTCGATATCAGTAATCTTTTGACTGGGTACGGAATATATTCGGATGTTTCTTGTATTTTCTTTCAACTCTGTAACTAGAGTCCCAAAATCAGAGATATCATTGCCTCTACCAACCAAGACGTCGGCAGTTCGTTTCAAGCAGCCACCTACGCCATCGGGTGCTCCCTTTCCATGCCCTTTTTCACTGAAATGCCATCGAAAGGTCCGAATTCCCAACATTTTCGCAACGAACCCTACCATCAAATGAAACATTTTTTTGTTACGATATTGTGTGGACGGTCCGTCGCTTAGGAAATTCGCATGTCGGATGTTTGGTACCAGCTCCTTGATATCTTCTAGCAATGGTTCGAGGTGGGCACAGATTGCCGACGGGTCATGTCGCAGATCTTCACAAAATGTACAACATGATAAAGGTTTAAGTTGAGATTGTTCATTTCTATAATATATTACAACCGTATGTAGAGATATTTGGGGCTTCGAACCACCAAAATGCGCAGACTGTACTTCCTCGCCGTATTTACAATTATAGTTTTCGCTGAAATCCATGTGCAAAAGAACTTCGTCATTTTTGAGCTCTGTTTTAATTTTATCAATAACTTGATATTGGTGCTGAATATTCCTGACATGGAGGAAAAAAGAATCGATGCAATCCTCAAGCGCTAGCAGCATTTCTCCTTTTGTAGTTTTCACAGTTTCCTTTAATGTTTTTTGACAAATCTTATCTTCTCCTTTTATGGTGACGTTAACTCTTTTCGATATCCAACGACAATATTCTGCTGGTTCTGTGATGAGAAAACTGCTATCCATTCTGTTTATTTTTGTGCCTTTGCAATCCGGGCATTTTCTTTCAAGACAAGGTTCTTTGGGGATTTCGGATTCTGACTTGCAACACAAGCTTCTGATTACATCCTTCTCAGACGATTCATTGATTATGTTTAGTTGTTTCAGTTTCCTCACAAGTAATGACATGTTAGCATGAGTGGAACACAGACACGTTTCCCTGCATCTCGCGTTAGGAATCAATACCCAGAACGGGCGGAGTTTGCAGAAGCTGGCATAACTGATCTTAAGATTAGAATGGGCAGCAAGGAACTTCTTGTGTAGATTCATAAGCGAGTCATTGAGATATCTCTTTTGTTTCTTACATTTCCTGAATGTTACTGTATCCTTTTTTCCTGGACACATCCTGCTGTTCTCGTCCATTTCAAGAAAATCTGTTACGTAAATCCTGAAACGTTTCAGTAATTCTTTCTTTTTAGAAGGCAGTGGTATTGATTTTTTGTAGATTTTTCGTGAATATGATAGGTTTCTGATATACTGCATACATTTGTGTTTTTTGACAATTTTGCCAGACAAATTTGCAACAAAATTTGCTTTATCACGACTGTTTTCTAAATTGGCCAAATTGTTCTTAATCTGAGAAGTGATTACCTCGCCTACTAGCAGTCTCTTTTTCACTTCATTAGAGACGGTTTGATTCCCTATAATCAACTTCACATTCTTTTCGGGCGTTGCCAATGGTGCAGATTGCCTTTGTGTTCTTTTTTTGTATTTTTCGCTTCTTTTCTTTTCCTTTTTCAACTGCTCTTCTAGATGCTTTATCTTCAGCTTATACTTGTACGTATTTCTACGGCGCATTTTTTTCCCAGTAGCAGTTCGACTTGACGAAGTGGTTGGAGTCTCTTCTGGGTTACTTTTCGGCGGGGGCGTATTCACTCTGAAAGACAGAGGAGAATCTGGAGGTGTATTTGCTTCCAAAGATTCTACCAAATCCTTCTTCCTTTTTTGCGAATCATAATATCTCTTGCTGTATATTCTCCATTTCTTTCTAACTGACCTTTGGGTGCGACTGTCCAAATTATCGATTTTCTTTATTTTTCCAGCATTTACTCTTGCATGATACCTTTCTCGTTCTTTCCTTTTGGCATCTTCATGCTTCACTGGATCATTTTTAATAGCCTCACGTAATCTTCTCATAGATTGTTTTTTTTTCTCTTTCCGTTTTTGAATTTCAGTTTCGGTAGGCGTCTTTTTGTTTTTAACCATTTTTGGCACAACTGAAAAACACCAAAGAGAGTTCCTAGACGTCATTAAATATTTTAGTCATATATTATTATGTGTACTGTAGGCGATGATGAGTAAAATCTCAACTCCATGACCTGTTATCAACTCCGTTACCTCAATCGGTAACGGTTCTGAGGGTCACGGAGCTGAGTGTTTTCATATTTGCCGGGCACTTGGCGGTCTAATTTTGAGGTTAGGTAAAAGTGATTCTAAAGGCGTTTTCGGAAATTATGCCCGAGTAAATAACCCAGTTGGTAGGTAACCTACACAGGTTCGCAACTCGAGTTATATGTTTTCCGAACGTTTTTACATAACCTAATATTCCTAACCGTGACATAACCTACATAAACATGTCTAACAAGGATAGTATAATCCATTCTACTATTCTTGGCACAAGTAGAAAACGCGCTACAGCAGCACTCCTTGCGTTTTGGACATCTGTAGTAGATTCCGACGACGATGATGACAATGTGATTGTTAGTCAACAACTTTTAACTACGAGAGAACATGGGGAAAGTAAACGTGTATGCATTAAGAATTATGTTGCCATTGTAGAAAGCTACAGTTTAGATGGTAATTAAAAATATTAAATTGCGTAGGTACCAGTTAAAAGTCATAGGTATTGTAGATTTCCGTAAACATTTCCGATTGACGAAAATGAGCTTTGAGGAAGTGCTAATTAAAATTGGTGATAAGTTGTCAATGGCTAGTTCCGTACACCACACTGGGAGACCTGGAAATGATGCGAAAACACAGTTATTAGTAGGTCTATGGATTCTCGCAAATCAAGAGTCGTACAGGTAAAATGAATTGTATAATTAATCTGAAAATGGTTAACATTTCCAGTCTTACAGAACCGTCGCCGATAGATTTGATCTGACCATTTCAACAGCATGGTGTTACTTTAGAAAAGTTGTAGATACTTTAGTTTCAATTGCGTCAGATGTAATTCAGTGGCCTAAAAATGAATCACAGAGACAGTGCTTCTCCACTGAATTTCGTAAAAGACAAGGATTTCCAAATGTTATAGGTGCGATTGATGGAACGCACATACCAATAGTGGCCCCACACAATATGGCAAACTCTTACATCAACAGAAACAAATATTATTCAATTGTCTTACAAGGAGTTTGTAATGCTAGATATAAATTTATCGATTGTTATGCCGGTAAAGTTATTAATTAAAAAGGATACTATCATTTATGAACTCATTAGGTCCCCCTGGAAGTGTCCATGATGCCAGGGTATTAAAAATGTCTCCCTTAGGAAAAAAATTGAACCACAATATTCATGATCTCGTGCCCTCAGATTATCACTTGTTAGGTGATTCAGCGTATTCAAATGCAAGTCACCTACTTACGCCTTACAAAGACAATGGACATTTGAGTCGAAAACAGAAAAATTATAATTACAAGCACTCTGCTACAAGAGTAGCTATTGAGCAAGCATATGGGCTGTTAAAAGGTAGATTCCGCATTTTGAGATACGTAAATATATATGACACCAAAGTAATTCCCAGCGTTATTATAAGTTGTTGTGTTTTACATAATATTTGTGTTGATGCAAATGATGTAGATGTAGAGCCGTATCAAGAAGATGCAGATGCTAATGTTGCTGTAGGTATTAATGATAGAAACTTAGACACTAAAGGACGCATTAAACGTGATGATATCGCAGAAATTATAAATTAACAAAATTTTGTAAGATTAGTATTTATTTTACAATGTACATGTTGCTTTAATTATGTATTTAAATGCTTTTCGATTACATTAATCAAGCGTTCTTGCATTTTCATTTTCTCTTGGTGGCGTTTATCCATATCTTCGCGAAATTTTTTAAACCAAACTGGCTCATTTTCCTTGTTCTTACGTTTATTATTTGGTCGAAGCTGTGTACTGCATGATGGGGTGCTCCTCCCACTATCATTGATGGGACTATTTGGACATTCTGGTTCCTATAACAAAAGTACATGAAAGATTCAAAATATTGATGGAAATGCTAAACTCGAGGAACAAATTTAAATGAAAAGTATAAAACATTAAAACCTACCACATTCAGGCTGCTGCATTCTGCTGGTGGATTTATCTCAGGATTTTGATGCAGTAAATTATCCATAATGTCAAAATATTTAAATTGTAATCTATTTCTACCTGTGGCAGCATTGTGGTCAATCACCTTTTTGTACTGTTTTTTTAAATTTTTGAATTTATTTTCGCACTGCTCCCATGTGACCATGTAACCATTTGCATTCATCAGTTCGGCAATTTGTTGCCAAACTTTCCTGTTTGTTGTAGACTTGTCTTCAAATCTTGTTTTATGTTCCTCATACAGTGATATCAATAGCTTTATTTCATTATCTTGCCAATGATGATTTTGAGGCTCGGATGCACTTGCTTGGCTACGTTGAGTCACTATTGGTGTTTCCTGCTCCTGAGATACGCCATAATCATGATCCTCATAATAATCTTCATTGTTGAGGGTTATATCCTCTTGCTGCCAATTTTCAACCTCTGTACTTTCACGGGATTCCAAATCAGGGGCATGAGTTGTTCGAATATGTTCATTAACAATATTTTCATATGATATAAAGTCGCAGATTTCACATCGTGCGAGCACCCTATTCATTTTTGATTGTAGCAAATAATAAAACTAAAAGTCTTCTATTGACGATTTTGTCAAACAAAAAGGTAAACACTTCAATCAAAACATAACCTACAATACAGACGTACCCTACTCACTGACCAGAGTTATTACTAAACAACCGAGTTGCCAACCTGATCTAGTTTTCGAACGCAGACAAAATAACCGGTGTGAATAATCGAACGCTTGGGTTACAACTCGCTAAGAACCTACCTAACCCGGTTGAATTTCCGAAAACGCCTTAAATTTAACATCTATTATTGTATTATCGAGGATTGCTAACGCATTTGTTAGCAAAATTCTATTTATCAACCAATTCCGAGTATCACGGAGTTGAAACCGCCGACGGGTCGATTACTTACCGATCAACTTTGAAAAACAATACACGCACAAAACTCACATATAACACTGCCTTCGCGGTTTTATCATAATTTATTGCTTCAGTGTTACCATCTGAAATAAGATTTCCGCCAAATTCCACAAAATTCTGTATTTTTTGTCAGGTTGGTGATAGCGTCACGGAGTTGAGGACGAAGCCTGGGACCGACTTTAAGCAATTAATAATTTTCCATTTTCTTCGTATTTATCATAATAGAGCATGTTTTCATTTGAAATAAAGTCTGAGCAAATTATTAAAACGATATTGCGATGATAGTGTATATTTACGATGGCTTTAAATTGGAATATTCCTTGAATAGTATGGATTGGGACATGGCACGGAGCTGAGATCTCATATACCGTGACCTTGTTATATCTGAAAAAACAGTAATATTTCCTTTCGACGTTAAGCGTATTAGGGTATAGACAGTGCCCATATCACTTTTATTTAAGAAAATTGATTAGAAATAATGTTATTCTAAGGAAAACTAAGGTGGGACATCAATTTGCACACTCCTGGAGAATGACATTTATAATAAAAAGTCGGTTATTTCTGACTCTTAAACGTCAAAATCTGTATTAGAACAAGTAATTACGTAACATTGACCCTCTTTGGAGACCTAATCCCTAACTTTTTACAATAACAATTCCGTCCACACGCGTTTTCTTTTCAAGAAACTTGCTTCAATAAATCTGCGGGTGAGATTTTATGTGTTGTCTTGACGAAAACCATCGTCACTTTTTGGGGGAACTGTTGCCCAAATTATGCAAAACATTTAACAAATTTTGGATATGTTTCAGAAACGTGTAGGCAATATTATGTAAAAAAAGTGTAAAAACGATATTTTGGAATATTTAGAGAAATTATCAAGATTTCAGAATGATGCAAACCTGAGGAAAACGTTTCATATACGAGTATTTTATTGGTCACATGGTGTGGGAAATATTTCAGAAGTGTGTAATAACATTTTTATAGTTTTCGGTTTTTGCACATTTGTTACATGTTTAGCAAAGCAATGTTATACAGCATCTGAAACGGAACTGATTAACAAACCATTGGTGAAGAGACACACATTCCTTGATAAGGTGTCCTGATTAGAGTTACCAGATCCAAAAATAAGTTTACCTGACACCCCGCCTGAGCAATAAATTTCCTGACATTTGGGCAAAAAATGTTTTTTTTTTTCAAAAACTCGAGGGTGAGTGATTAAAAGTTTGAAATGCGGTGTGGCGAGGAAATTCCTGGCAATTTCCAATTTTCCCTGACAGACAGCTAAATTTCCTGACATGTCAGGAAAATTCTTGTCATCTGGTAACCCTAGTCCTGATGCTACCTACAATTTTACCTACCCAATGCTAATCTGCAAAAAAAAATAGTCGCATTCACGGTATAGACTTAATTGCATGACTAAATTATAAAATCTGAAGATTAGATAAAAATAACAACTGACTAAAGCACTACAGGAGCTTCTTTATAATAAACAAGGCAGTGTATCAAATGAACGTTTCAAAATAGTGAACAAAAAAATATAGCCCCTTGCAAAAGCCCTTAGTTTTTTAATTTGTTTATTGTCACCTATCTGTTATGTACAGTAAAAGGCTAATATATGACAACTTTATTTCATCCATCATTCTTAAAATATTGTTACTTCGGGTATTCACATGTAAAGGACAATGAGAAGGACGTGAAGGTTAGTAGTTAGTAGATTAAAATAATTAAAATGTATTTCATCAAATATAGGAATAAATCCATATAAGTAATATATAAATAAGTCTCTTAAAATAAATCTAATGACCGACATCCTGTATAATACAAAAGGAATTCCTTTTGAGATAACCACTATGCAATTAACTGTAGTTAGAGAGGTACTTATAATGGAACGGATTAAAATATAATTAAATCCCAATCAATTGTATTCATATCGTAATGTGATGGTACTTACAAACTAGAATAACATGTTTACTAAATAACTATTTATTGCGTTATGTAATTCAAGAAAATTGAGAAATTTCCTTAGGTCGGTTTTATGCTCCGTTTTTTGTCGCTTGTCACGTGGCCACAAAACGTACATCCTACAACTAGCATTTTTAGATTTGCAGGAATCCAGGGGAAAATTGAAGATGAATTACCATTACAAATAAAAAAGTCGACGTCCATCTACCATAAGGTTCAAATTAGTTTTGAAATGCGCAACAGCACAGAAAATGCGATTTATATTTGCAAAATACTCCTTCTGATATCCAAGAAGGAGCCAATACTGCAATGTTACCTACCCCAGAAATCCTAACAAAACTACTGACAGATCTATTATGAATTGAATCAATACAAACAATGAAAACTGCCATTTGGGAAAATCAGTAATAGTGGCATATTTTTTAGAGCTCCCAAAATTACGTACATTTTTGAACCGACGGAATGTAGAATACAGATCACAGCAAATGACCTTTATTTCATAAGGTATCACCGCTTTACCTGACTCATTTGAGAACGGAAATAGCACTTCACCAAAAAGAAATACCATGGAAATTATCGTGGAGTTACAATAAGTAGGTACCTCTACCTATAATAAATTTAGTGCCCGGATTTTTAAGCAAAATGCACATTTTTTTCTACACCTTTAAAAGTAAGCAGTCATGTTATACCTTGTAACTTGTAAGGTATGTATTAATAAATCGATTTGATTATGATTGATAGTGCTTATAAATGCTTCTTTAGGCTATTACGAATTAAAATGCTTATTTGATGATTTTTTTATTATAACTGCATATTTTCCTCAAAATGCAAATATTTTTTCTTCTTGTCCTCTGTGGCGTTTCAGGTAGAATGCAAGTAGAGGATTACCATGTTATTTTAAATTTTGAATAAATGTAAAACATCTTCTCACGCCGACTATAACCCCCTTATATTAAGCTCTTCTTTGTCGGTATTATTGTATTTTTGAGGAAAATTGAAGGTCATGTCATAAAGCATACCTAACACCAATAAATAACAAAAGGGATGACTTGTTTGTTAAGTAGTTAGGAAAGGCTGGCAAATTACAATACTTGCATATTTTACTAACATGATTCAAATTTCGGTAGGTCTATACAATCTTCAAAGGGTAGCTGTATTTACCTAGGGTCAAGTGGTGTAAAAATGAGACGTTTTAACGTAACTTTTGATTTTCGAGTGGTTCTTGTTTCTCTAAATTTTCAGAAAAATGGCCATTTCATATAGAATTTGATGAGGAATAACATTTAATTAATACATTTGAGTAAATTATTGCGTGTTTTAGAAAAAAAAAATTAAAATTGTGTCTCATTTCTACCACCTTTTAGGTTAAAAATGAGACATGGTACGTCTAAAAATGAGACACTACGTTTTCAGGCATTTATTAAATAGAGTGCGTTGCCTATCATCCTTGGGGTAATACTAATACATTGGGGTAAATGTGAGACACTCATTATATATTTTTTCTCAGTTACTTAAAAAAATACACACAAAAACCTAATAATAATAAAAAGAAATATTTGATTTAACTCATCATGAAGAAATATGGTAACCATGTTGACACAAAGTTCGAAAATAAAGTAAATCTTTAACATAAGCTTTAGTTCACATTAAATTTATCAAAAGCAATAGAAAATACAAATCTTTGTGATACTCTCGCGGTGCCCCCATGAAAGTCTGGGGCTGGTAAATTTCAAAAACTTGCGACGAACTTCCCCCTTAGCTCGTGCACGAACGGTATTCTAAATAAGGGAAAGCACAATTATTTCAAGTTCATTTAATTGTCGAACAATAATATAATTGTACAATTCAATTATTACACCGGGGACGGTCGGTCGGTCACTCGGGCGCCACCAAGACTTAATCTGCACCCCCTAAGTCTTGGGAAAAGGGGCGGTGCGGTCTTCGCGGACGGGGTGGAAAGCCTCCGGGTATCCTCTAGTGGAGAACGGAATAACCAGGGATCGGTCAGGGTTCACCACAAAATGGCGGCGGTCACTTCCGGATAATCTAAAACAAAATATGGCCAACGGCCCGGACGGTAAATTTCCTAAAGGGAATAAAGCAATAAAGCACAAATCAATTAGCGGTGTCTAGGGGAACGAAAAGCGGAAAAACAAGGAGAACAGAATATACTCCCCCCCCCCTTTAATCAACGTAATTGAAAATTAAGCGCTTACCTTGGTTAAGTAACGGTGATTTAAACGGTGGTAACACTATCGATAGAAAATACGGTAAGCTTAAGGCGGTAATGAAACTTAGCGGAACGGGGTAAAAGTTACGGTAGTGCAAAAAGGTAAACTCAAAACGGTAGTTAAACGGAAAGGATAACGGATTGACTTACGGTCGCTCAAACGGTAAAACAAAAGGGTTTCGGTGGATTCGGAATGATACGGTTTCGCAAATTAAAGAAATCAAAAGGCGTACTTACAACTCGAAAGTATGAAGCAGAAAAAGATCCCTCCCAAAATGAGCATTTTCCTTTTAAAGGAAACCAATTTTGGTGGAGGTGGAACAGGGAATTTCCAAAGCCGGGCGGTACTCGTACCGAGAGCGGTAGAAAATAATTCGGTTTTTAATTACTTAATTGCGGCTCCTGTGATTATCTTAAAAATCTGGGACAACTTGCAAACAACTAGAAAAATTACAGCGCCTCTGTGGACACCTCTCTCGACGGATTCTGACAAGGTTTACTACTGCCCATTAACATGGCATTAATTAACAGCGCTTACCTAATTAAGCGTAATCAAACTTAAGTACTCATCAATCCAATCTGCAACTAGCTCCTTTGGACTTTTCTTCTCAAACGGCGCTATCGCTTTAACACTCTTATCGCAACATGCAGGCATACGGACGGGACTGCAAAACTTGTAAACAA